TTGAGCGCATGTATGTCCCAGGCACACTCAAGTACGGCACAAGGTGAACGCAGCACCGGCCTGCAAGTGGCTATTAGTCTATCAGAAGGAGGCGATGCTACTATGTTGCCTTTTGCCAATTAAGTAATTGCAATGTTTTTTTTTAATCAAATGTGGCAAATTTGGATCGTGATACTGCCACGATTTGAATTGAAAACGTAGTTCCATGTATAGCCAGCTTGTAAATCCACTGCTGGATGAAAGCCTTCTCTCCAAGCCGTTGCCATCTCTTACATGGTCCTGCGATGTATCAATCCACCTGGCACCAGCACAGGAGTTCTCATCTCTGTCGTTCCCCTGTTTGGATGCCACTCCATCGTTTCTCTCAACCATCTGCTACCATCATCAACATGTACAAACCCTTTTTGTTAATCCACTGCTGAGTGGGGGGCCTGCATGCATGGGTTGTCGGGATTATTTAACCCTACTTCACGCTGGCCGGTGCAGGTTCAGCCTGTTGGTGACCGTGGGTTTATACTATGTTCTACAGTTGTGGTGAAGAACTCAATGCCATTAATATTCCCTATAAAGTAAAACCCTAATGTGCGCCGTGGTCGTCACACTCTACGGCTCTTATACTGTACTGTATGTGACGATTTCAACTGGCGTGCCTCGTGGGCTGGTGTCAACGTCTTCTTTGTGTAACTTATTATTAAAATACACATTTCAAGTTTAAAAATAAAATCTACGTTGGTGGTTTTAATGACAAGTGTTTATTAAAGTGAAAGTCACGCGACACGGCACGTTACGGAAGCGTCGCGGAGTACGCAGCTGTTGAGTCACTCATCGGCCACGGCGGCGATTCCCGCTGGCACAACACCTCGCCATCGCACCCGGGCAAATCTTGGAAACGCCGGTATAAATAGCGCACCCAATAAAAACAAGTGGCAGATCTGTAAACAGCGTTTCATAACAAAGACATTAATCACCCGGACGCATATAACGTGTAACGTGCCTTATTTTCCCAAATAAGTTGTGCCTCGTGATGGCGGTGGAGAGGAGAGGACGGCCCTGTCCCTCCCAGCTGAGATTCTCATCCTGGAGAAGCCACTGTAGTCTTTGTTATAACAAATGGCCGGACAGGGCAAAAAGGTTTAAAGCTGGGGATAGAAACCCGGTGTGAGCTCTGCCTCATGCTGTAGTCGCAAGACTCTTGGTGATCACTCCACACCTCCCCATGACAATAACAAGCCTCGAATGGAGAGAGGAGGACGATGAGGCATTTGTGCCACGTGGTGATCTGGCCTCAGAACCCAGCTTCTCATAGCTTGGTCCAGAGGTGACCGTGCCTGAAGGTGACTTGACCTCCGTAAACAGGTTTCCCTTTATGCGGGTTCAGTTTGTGTGATTTCGCGTATATGCGGCTAACCTATTTCTACCCAAAATTCGCGATGTGGTTTTAATTCATTCACATGTGGATATGCGATTGGACTTGAGACAACATTGTGTGTGTACTGTGTGCCCTTATTGGCAGGCAGCTGTCTCGTGCCTTTTTGCGCCCTTTATTTGGACCACATCTACTACCGCATAAAGCGAGGGAAACCTGTACTCTACTACCGAGCTGTTGCGTGGCAATACCGAACGGGCCCAATGTGGATCAGGAGGCACCAGGTTCTGCCACTGCAGAAACCGAGCCGTGCCACTGAATGAGTCTCGTTGCCAGTGCACTGTTGACGAACCCACCGTATGACGACATTTATTAACTTGCCCCTGGCCTTGCTTGTCCCCGAGTCTGACAAAAAATTATTGTGAATTCAGACTTTCATGGCTTTGTTTTGGCTCGGCATGGCAAATAACATAAAACCACCCATGCTGTGAGGACCCCATGCTTACGTGGCTTGGATGTTCCAGTGGAAAAAAAATTATAATGGTGACCAGGCCTTAACGTGGTGTTTTGCCCTGGCCGAGTTCCAGGTTAGCCCAGCCTCAAGCTGGTTGAAAAAAACACTTTTAGTTCACAATCACCGGTCTTATCTTTTAGGGTTGTGGATATACAATGCTATTTTTAGTTGCCCTGAGTTTTTGTAAATATCAAACTCGCGTGAAGAATATTCCAGAGGTCAACCGTCTCAAATGAGTGTATGTCACAGATAACATTTGAGTTATATTTGTGCATTACAGTTCTATGTTGTCTAAACCACTGGATTTCATGGCATAGCATGAACGAATGATTCATATTGACTTAGTGTTGAAAATTACCATATAATCGATTTATAATTCTTTTTTTTATTCAGATGAGTATTATATTCCTTACAGTTTGCAGCATAAACACTTATCTCTCAGTGAACTCCATTGGTGCATTTGAGAAAATCACAACAGTGGTGCTGAAAATATATTTGCAAAGCATGGTGCATGCAAGATGAGAACATTATGATCCAGAAGTGGATTGCCAAAACGGGCTGCAAAAGTACTAAACATGGGATAAGCATGGTTAGTGCATGGATGGACGACCACCATGCATGATGTGTTATATGCTGTCACCTTGATCTTGCTGCACTGCCCACTACGTAGCACAGCAGCCGCCTATATCACCGATGATGCATGGTGGTAGCCCATCCCAGCACTAAGCTTCGGAGCTACGTGGTGGGCAGCAGAGGGCGGTTGCCCTATACTCGTATGTATAAATTACGGGGAAAAAAGTTACCAAAAGAGTTTTATGCAACTAGTTTAAGACCAGGCACAAGCTGACCCAAACACAAAGTTATCTGACCCCATGACTAGGCTTGCCACCTGTCTGGGTCAAACCCAGACAGTCCGGTAATTGGCATTTGTATTACAGTATACTGTAGAGTTTGGATAGACTTAGGCTGACTGACACATGTCTGAATTTACTTCGTGGAAAAGGTGGTGCCCCTACTCATGACCCGGTCCCACGTCGCCCAACCCCTGGCCCCAGGAGGCCTCAGAGCGTGTGCTGGAGGTTGGGGTGGTCGATGACGCGGCTGCGGTCCAGGGTGGTGTTGAGGGCCCGGTCGCGGGGCATCCCGCACTCCCCGAGGTGCCGCGAGAAGCGCTGCGACGCGGGGCGGTGCACGCAGGGCGCCGCCTCGGGCCCGGGGCTCAGGGCGCCGTAGTCGTGCGCCGTGGTGCGGTAGAGCGAGGAGGCGGGCAGCGCGGCCCCGGCGCGCACCGTGAACACCGGGTTGCCCGGGCTCGGGCTGCCGAGGCCCGGCCCGGCCGGCCCCGTACCCGCGTCCGACATCATCGCGGCCTGCGGACCGGGACGCGGCAGCCGTGCTCATGGGGACCGTCGGGCAGAAGAAGGCGGTTGAACAACACGGACGTTGAGGAGAAACGCCTCATTCGAGACCCTCACATCATCGCACCTCCTGGCTTTGACATTCCTCCTCACAGACACTGGTGGTGTGACCATGAACCGCACCAAACCATCAACAACAGGCTGACGCGCAACATCTTCATGGGTTGAATACATGAAAGATAAACCAGGCGATTGTGGACATGCAGCCCCGAGCGATGGACCATGAAATAAACCCATATACATTTCTTTATATGCAAATTTCCCCCTCCAACCCAGCTTAAATATACGCTGCCAAGCTTGGTGGTGCTCATTCAGACGCTGTCTTTCCGACACACCTGTTCTTCACCTGAGGACGTCTGCTTGCGTTGTGGCCGAAACGTCGTGAGAATTGTATTTTATTATGTTTTATTTTATTATTTCCCTTCTACGTGACTTTACCGAAAGAACCAAGAAGATGACCCCATATAGACACGCGGATATACAGGGTGCTTAAAAAAGATGGACCCAATTTCAAAGCAGTATATTTCACGATGGCAACATGTTACAATTACACGAAAAGTTACAAACGGTTGAATGAGTTATCAAGTTTTACTAACCATTTTATAAATGCTCTACGTGCCCTCCACCTGCTGTACGGGCAACATCGAGACGATAGTTGAATTCGTCCCAAACGCCTCTCTTCTCACGTTTTCCTCTGAGGTGCGTGGTCGCCCTGTGCTCTTCCCCTTACATCAACAGCCTGCTTCCTCAAATTGTCGGTACCAACGACGAATGCTCTTTGACATTGGCGGATCAATGCCAAAACGCTGTTGAAACGCACACTGCACCGCAATTACGGATTCAGTCTTGCTGAACTGCAGAAGGCAAAACGCCCCTTGTGTTGTGGGGGTCACCATCTCGCGAACGACTGAGGCTAGGGGCTGTTTGTGCGCTGGGAGAGGCATCTCGCGGTCATCATTTGAAACTCTATACCCCGTCCTGTCAAGTGGTAAAAGTTTCATTCATGGGCGGTTCGTGTTTGCAGAGATATAGCGATTTCAATTCGGGTCCATCTTTTTGAAACACCCTGTATACAGAGACTCAAGAGATACACAGAGATACGTTAAAGACAAGCCAGTCGTGAGATTGTGGCCATGTTACCCAAACTCTGGGTTACCATATGGTACATCACAAGTCGCCGCTTCTTCAGCGGATTAAGATTAAACCACAACTCTCTACTGAAGCCCTCTTCTCGTCGTCGCGAACAGACCTCGACGTTGGCATTTAGCTCCTGTGCACAATGCTGCCATCACGCGCACGAACAGAATCCGATCATCACCAGCATCATCATCATCATTGACACGTTACATCAATCAACCGCTGCTTAATTAAACTTGTTGGAAATCTGTAAAAAAAAACAAGCTTTGAATTAGCTTCCGAGGCCGGGCGCCTTCCCCGGAGATTTGGTCACACGCGAAAGCTGACACCGCGATGGCCCCAATCTGTGTTAACGTTATAAGGTTTATAGCAGAAACAATACCCACAGTTATCGAGGTAGATGGTAGTGGATCCTCTTAACGACGGTCCGGATCGTAGCCCTCGTACGGGTGTCCACCGGGGAGGGGGGGTCACGTGACTCTCTCTGTTTACATTTCGGTTGCCGTGGCGACGGGGTAAGGTGGGTGGGGGGGCTCGCCCAGTGGTGACCTCATCGCGACCACGTGACCCGCGCTCCGCTCATCACGTGACTTGCAGCCTTAGCGGGAGACGAGGTTGAGGAGGAGGGGGGAGGAGGTTGATGAGACGCGGAGAAGACGACGACGACGAGGAGGAGACTCGAACCGAGCTCAGTGGCGCGGCGGCGTCCACAATCCATCCCACCGCTCCACGAAGGTGGTCAACTCCGTTACCGACTCGCCCCCACCACCGCGACCCACACCCTGCTCGGTCTGCCTCTGCCTGCGGGCATCGGTGAGGGTGCGCCGGTACAGCGGCCAGGCAAGCGTTGGGGGCCCGTGCGCGACCAGGCCGAGGTAATTTGCATTCTCAAGTAAACAAAGCGGGCGCTTCAGGGTTGATGCGCGCACACACAGACACGGCTAGGCGTGTACAGACACACACAGACAGACAAAGATCCTACTCCAGTCTTTAACATACTTTGAGCAAGTGCTGTTCGCGAGAACCTATTAAGGCCGTACATAAACAAACACAGACACGTGTATACACATTGATACACACAGCACACGGATACAAATACACGTTAACACACAATTTAGACAAGTACGTCGACGCAACACAGACACACGCACTCGTACTGTACTCGAGTTGTGAGTTCCATGTCGATCCCGACTCAGGTTCGTCTGCCGCCGCCGCCGCGATGTCGACTTCGGAGAGCGACAGCGACTCGAGCGGGTGGACTCTGCTGAGCCGCGAGGTGAGGGGGGACCCCTCGTGGGGTGGAGACCCGCGTGTTGATGGGAGCCCGCTGGTGTGAGGGGGCCACAGGGGTGAGGGGCACCCGTGCGGCAAAGGGGTGAGGGGATTCGCGATGAGATCCGTGGTTTTGAGGGGATTTTTGTGATGAGGGGGGGCCGCGTGGTGCGGGGTGAGGGAACCCGCAGCGTGGTGGTGGTGGTGAGGGGCCCCGTGTGTGGTTTGGTGAGGGGACCCGTGTGGTGAGGGGACCCGTGTGGTGAGGGGACCCGCGTCGTGGTGGTGGTGAGGTGACCGGTGTGGTGAGGTGACCCGTGTGGTGACGGGACCCGTGTGGTGAGGGAACCCGCGTCGTGGTGGTGGTGAGGTGACCGGTGTGGTGAGGTGACCCGTGGGGTGAGGACCCCTGTAGAGGTGAGGGGACCTGGGCCCTCGTCTCGGCGTTAGCACCCCCCCCTCCCCAAACCGCTGGCCCCAGTTGCGCGTTGGCACAGCCTCCTTACGCAATGGCCAGATTTACACAACAGAGCTGGCACCGCGCGGGGCTCGTGTTTACTCGCTGGGGGGCGAGCGGGCGAGAGGCAGAGACGCTGACCCGTGCTCTCCCGCGTGGCCGCGGCGTGCAGGGCCTGGACGAGGAGTGCGTGGGCGCCAAGCAGAGACGTCAACTCGGGCACTCGGACTCCGAGGATGATGGAGCTGAGACGGTGCCGGCCCACGTCGCGCAGAGCCAAGGCAACGGTGGGCAAAGCGGCGCGGACGACACGGGTAGCGCGGCACGGGTAGCGCGGCACGGGTAGCGCGGCACGGGTAGCGCGGCACGGGTAGCGCGGCACGGGTAGCGCGGCACGGGTAGCGCGGCACGGGTAGCGCGGCACGGGTAGCGCGGCACGGGTAGCGCGGCACGGGTAGCGCGGCACGGGTAGCGCGGCACGGGTAGCGCGACAACTCTCCCCTTCCTCCTGCCCCGTAGGTAAAGGGCTAAGAGTTAAGGCACAGGATGGGGAATCTACGGCCCATTTGCCAAAAGTGGTCTGCGACTTCATTTTACCGTGGCCTGCAGCCACATGAGATCGTCCACTTTGAAAAGGCCTGGAAGCCACAAGCATTTTAGCCGTACTCATTGTGTACTGGAGGGGAATATTTTTGATGTGGCAACAATAGTGATTCTTATTTTAGCACGCTCAAGTCACTGCTGTCACTTCAAGGGCCTCTTGTACTGAAATAAGTGGCCGAGAAGTTTGTGCTAATGTGTGGCCCCCCGCCAAAAGGCATTTTAGAGTTGAGTTTGGATATTGTTCAGCTAAACTTTCCCATGTCGTGTTTTGGGGGTTGACCGCTCAGGGTTAGGCACATGACTCTATATTTATTCCTTGTTTAAAATACATTCTTGGACTCATGATAACAGTATAGAATTGTGCATCTAATAATCAAATATGTATGCTTTATTAATGTGATATGAAAATAATATTATGTTACATTTAGGCAAATGCAGTGAACAAAATCGTCATAACAGTAAGACAAAACATTTGTAAATCAATTCGTAACTGAATCGTGATAATTAATCTAATCGCTGGGTGGGTGGTAGATTGTTAGAATGTTCAGAGCTATGATTATAAGGGTCAGGGTTATTAGCGTTTGGGGTTACCAGAGTTGGGGGTTGAGGGTTAGAGTAATGTGGGTAGAATGATAACTTGTAGGATTAAACTTTTAAACATACGTGTTATGGCTAAGGTTTGGAGTTGTAACAGCAGAATTGTGTTTGGTGTGTATAATGTCAGGGTTATTATTAGTGTTTATACTTGTGGTTTATGTTAGGATTTTTATAAATGTATTATGAAGATGACGAGAGTGTAAGTGGCTACGATTAATGTTAGGTTTGGTCATGTAATGTAACGGTCATTGAGGGCAGAGTTACAGTTGCTCGGGTCATCATCATCATCGTCATTTATTATTTATGTTGTTGCGCGTGACACGCGTGTGGCAGGTTTCAAAGTGCTAAAAGGGATTTGACATTGAAACCCCACACGTGGGTAACAGAAGAAATACGCACAGAGAGATGAACATCAATAACTTAGACGACGTAACCGATGGTATTTCACTCAAGACAGTCGAGCCAATGTTACTACTGCAGCACAGTTGTAACAATTGTGTCTCACGGAGTTTTGCTGCGTGGAGTTTGCGCGTTCCCCCCCTCCCATTCTGCGTAGGTTTGCTCCGGGTTTCTCAGGGTTGTGGTTTTGTAGGTTCATGCTCAGCTGTCCCTCTGCTGCGGCCGCCCTCCACACTCGGAGTGATCGAGGAGTTTGTGTCTCGCAGGGTTCTTGGAAGGGAAACTCCGGGAGGCGTTGGATGCCGGGGGCGAGGGCTGCGAGAGGGTGGGGGAAACCGGACTCCCCGACGAGGCCACGTGCACGGTGAGTAGCAGCAGCAGCAGCGGCGGCGGTGGTGGTGGGGAAATGGGTGGGGAATCCGAGCAGAGGCTGTCACTGACGATTCACAATCCAATCGCTCAGAGCGGGATTATCCAAAACGTAAGGGGTCGCTGACCCAAGCTGGCGCGAGCTGGCTGGGCACTGCCACCTTTGCCTCGATCGAGCAAGAAGACTGTGGCCTGTGCATGCTAGATTGGGGCTTCACAGATGTGGCTTGTGGGCATTCATACAGTGGCATCATCAATCCACTGCTGGATGATGGCCTCCCCATGTAATGTTAGTGTTGGGGCTTATTTGATCATACTTGGTTAAGTATGGGTTGGTGAGAGGGCCATAATGGGTTCAGATAGAGCACCTCCTTGCCTGTGACGTTAGCCGCGGTTGGCAGCTGACGCAGCGGAACAAACATAAACGTGAGGTCACGGCTTCACCAGCACGGTGCGGCCCAAACGCACAAACAGCTCTCCATGTAAAAGCTCATTGTGCTTTGTCGTCGGGGATCATGGGTAATGTTTACTGTAAATGTACAGACTTCACTTCCGGCTCGCCATGATTAAAAAAAATTACGCCGAGAATACATAGTAGATTACATGAGCAGCCTCCTGAAAAAGCGCCCTGAGACTCAACGAAGTTTCCATTGGTAAATCAAGAATGTTGTTTGATTTTTATTATTATTATGACATGCGTTTAAAATAGTATCGAGTTCTTAGTTGTTTACCATAAGCTTTTTGTGTTTAGTTGTTGTCCTTCCCTCGCACCTCTAATTCGAATGGTTGGCTACGTATGGTGCGAAAGAAGTTCAACTTACATACTTCCACACATACATAAACGTAAACGGTTTGAACAAGCGGCGTTTGACACGTTGCATTCATGTCATGGCGGTGAACAAAAACAGGTGGAGCGGCCACCCGGGCCTGAAGAGGTGAAGGAAGATGTGAATGCGGAGGTGGGAGATGAGGATAAGGAGGAGGTGAGAGATGAGGAAGATGAGGTGAACAAGACGAACGAGAAGGTGGGCAAGGCAAGTGAGCCAATGGGTGAGGAGGTTGAGATAGTGGACGAAAATATGGGCAACGTGAGCGAAAAGGTGAAGTTGGACGAGGAGTTGAGTGTGGAAGTGAGCGAGAAGATGATGGAGGAAGAGGAGGAGAGCGAGGTGGTGAGTGAGGTATTGAGCGGGAGCGTGAGCAAGAAGGTGAACAAGGAGGTGAAAGGGGAGGGGAACGAGAACATGGGCAAGGAGGCGAGCGGGGAGTTCAGCAAGGCAGTTAGCGAGAAGGTGAGAGGGGAGGTGAGTGAGGAGTTGAGTGAGGAGTTGAGTGAGGAGTTGAGTGAGGAGTTGAGTGAGGAGTTGAGTGAGGAGTTGAGTGAGGAGTTGAGTGGTGACGTGCAGGCGAAGGTGATTGAGGTGAGCGAAAAGATGGAGGAAGTGAAAATGGAGCGAAGTGAGGTGGTAATGGAGGAGGTGAGAGGGGAGATGTACAAGGACATGATGGAGGAGATGATGGAGGTGAGCGAGGAGGTGAGTGGGAGCGATGACTCCGACCTCTTCACGCTGGATCCCTCTGCGCTCGACGAGATTCCGGATCCTCTTGCTCCCTCTGAGGCGTCCGTGGAGATGCCCGACTCTGCGGCAGGCCTGGAGGACCCCCCTCATCTCCCCTCCTCCCACTCGGAGGCATCCGTGGAGCCCGTCATGCGGGCGGATGGCGAGGACACTCTCGCGGGGTCTTTGAGCATCGGCGGCCGCTTCCCGTTCCCCCTGGGGCGCGAGCGAGGTGGGTTGAGCTCCTCAGCGGTCGCAACGGGGACCTGCAGCGTCTGATCCACTCATGTGGGAGACATGTGACCAATACGGACGAGACGAATGACCAACACAGACGCGCTCACTGCACGTGCGTCCAATCGCACGTGCAAACACTCGTATTTTGGGCTCACGTTTGTTGTGCGTAATGGGTCAATGTCACCGCTACGGCTACAAGAGGTTTTGCTATTCACGATCCAGAGTTGCAGAAATTCGAAAATCGTTCCACCTGCGCTATCTGCTCTGCTGTTGCGATGAGGGTGGTGATCCCGCCACTGTAATGAGGATAACGAGAGTTGATGGAGCCGAGCAATGATGGTTTCCCTTGCGTCTCCTGCAGCCCCGTCGGGCACTGGCTCCAGCACCGACGAGGAAGACCAGGAGAAGCTCGGTCGATGTGATGATGACGAAATCAGGAGCGGCCTGACGGCGCCCAGGCTGCGCCGACGCCTCGCCCGCCGGCAACTCTCTACCACGCTGGCCGACGGCACCGTGCCTGCAACGGGGGGCACCGTGCCTGGCACGGGTGTGCCGGTGACGGTGCTGGTGCCCGCACTCGCGCTGGCGCTCATCGTGGCGCTGGGACTTGTGATAGCGAGCAACCACGGTGAGCGGCACAATCCCCCACCACCCAGACCCCAACCACACACTCCCCGATCATCCACACTGGCCAACCCTAGGTGTGCTCGGCCTAATATGAGTTTCTGTGGCTTTCAGTCAGTGTCAGGTTACTCGGGAGTGAGGTGAATTTGGCAACATCCTCCTCTCGGTCCACTCAGCCTGAAATGATCACCGGTCGAGGAGGCGGAGGCTCTTTTTGTTTACAAGTTAACTCGGTGATGCCCTCGCGCTGCAGACTGGGTCATGTGACCATCACGGTCATGTGACCGCCGGCGCCGGGACGTGTAAATATTGACAGCGCCGGGGCTCGCGCGGTCTTGTGGTGTAAGTGGGGCAGGCACCGTGTGTGCAGACGGCATTGCTATTAATACCGTGGGGGTCACCCCCCCAACCACCTTCCTCTTCCCCCCCCCCACCCATCACCGCATGTGTTAATGGCCACACGTCTGGCCCCCCAACCACCAGCTGCCGGGGATCAACATCAAGGGCAAAACCTACGGCCCATTCTCCCCTGGCCGTAGTAGTAACAGGCGCCCACTAATAGAACAACGTGTCCCATGTGCTCTGAGTAAGTGCCGCCAGGTTTCCGCTTTTTTATACATTTTATGGGAGTTTTTGTTTGTGCAGTCATTGGTAACCGGGCATTGATACACTTGAGTACCTGGTTAAATCACAACTCTGTCTGAGTCTCTGAATCTCTACATGAGTCTGTGGGTCTCTATGTGAGACCATGGGTGACTGGCCTGAGACGATCATCTCGCTACACTTGAGAACCCGGATTTGAACCCAGGATCTCAGCGGTGTCGGCTCGGTTTCCCGACATGGCCATTGTGAGCCCCCTACATGTGTGGCCGTGCGTGCGTGAGCAGTGGCGAGCGGGAGGCAGGGGGCGTTGGTGCAGCAGAACGAGCGTCTCAGGGCAGCCGAGCGCCAGCTGCAGGTGACGGTCAACTCGCATGCGCACACTCGCACATGTACACACATCATAGAGGTTTTTTGGGTTCGATCGCGTAAATATATAAATGTGTCGTTAAACCCGCCACCACCCGACACAGCCAACTAGTAAGGGTTGTCAAGTAAACAGAACATGCCAATTCGTCACTAGTACAGCACACCGGTGTGTTGGAGACACATTTATATATTTACGCGATCTAACCCAAAATACCTCTTATGGATGACGTGTAAAACTGACATGTACACACGTTTAGAAACATATATACACACGTGTATACTCACACAGGTGTGTTGAACTTCTTTCACACTGTATGTAGCCAACCGTGCTAATTGGAGGTACAGGTATAAACATGTGTATGTCTATACACACATGCATATGTTTATACTTCTAAAGATCTCCCATATAGCCTTTTAACAGACTATTGAGGCAAGTGTTGTTCGCGAGCACTGTTGAAGGCCGACATGGCACACGAAGGGTGAGGTGGGCAGTACCACGCCCACACACATTAATACTCACACACGCACGCACGTGTACACGTAGACATGTACACGTGTTTATATATGTCTCCCACACATGGACACGCACACACTCACAAGGTCACACAAGTGTGTACGCTCACACCTCGTTCTGCGGAGAGAAGGGATGGGAACGGCACCTTGTGTCCATGTGGGTGGGTGCTGATGACGTTGAGTGGTCTCTACGTGGAGCTGGCTGAGAGCCCCGGTTGACAGACCTGGCCCCACCACATGCCAGAACTCACGGTGCATGTGTGTACTTGTGTGCGTGCGTGTGCGTGCGTATGTGTGCGTATGTGTGCGTGTGTGTGTCCTCGTCTGCAGGCCGAGGTGACCGCCATGGCCGGGCGTTGGGAGGCAGAGCGTGGGGCCCTGTCCCAGGAGAACGCCGCGTTGCGAGCGACGCTGATCCAGCTACGCCAAGAGGCCGGGCGATCCACTGCGGCGGCGAAGCAGGAGGGCCCCGGGGCCACCACCGCACAGGGGCAGGAGGCCGCACGGGCGGCGGCGCGGGAGCTGGCGGCCGAGGGCCGCCGGCTGCAGGCCGAGGTTCGCCGGCTCCACCGGGAGCTGCGGGAGGAGCGTGCGGCCTCCGCGACCACCCGCGGAGAGCGCGACGCGGCGGCCGTGGCGCTGGAGGCCGAGGGGCGGCGCTCGCACCTGTGGGAGCGGCTCTACGTGGAGGCGCGCGACGCGGCCGCCGAGCATGGGAAGAGGAAGCAGGAGGAGGGGGAGGTGCGAGGGCCTGACCCCCGCCACCGGCTCTACGAGGACGCCAAGAACTCGACGAGGAAGCGCGCGGAGCGTGGGGCCGGGCAGGCGGAGTCCGACGCAAGCCGGAGCCGCGGCTGGGGAGGCCACGCGACCGCGGGGGCCGGGAGCGAGGCGAGGGCCGAGGCGCGGCAAGGGGACGGCCGGCGGGGGCAGGGGCAGGGGCAAGGTCAGGGGCAGGGCAGCAGGCGGAGAGGGGAAGAGCGGCTGAAGATGAAGGGGAGGGACTGGCGGGGCCCCGAGGAGTACGGGGCCCAGAGGGCGCATCCCCCACAGGGACAGGGCCACAGCACGAAGCACAACGAGCAGCACAACCGGTGTCACGAGCAGCACAAGCAGCAGAGCTACAGGGCGTGGCACGGGAAGCCACGGCGCCACTGCGACCTGCACGTGGCCGAAGTGGAGATAGAGCTCGGGCCCCTGCCCTTTGGCCCTAAGTACTGACCCTGCATCTCGGACAATTGCCCCAGACCTCCCCATAGCTCTCCCTGCCTCCTCTTGCTTGATGTGCTTCTCATAGTTTCCTTCGACCATATCCTGTTTCCCTGCCTTTCCTTGTCTCCCCTGGACTTTCAACTGTCTTCCTCTATATTCTATAGCCTCTGTTTCTCCCTCTAATCCCCCCCTCTCTCTCCTGATCTCCATCTTTTGTTTGTTATTGAGAAGTCCGCTTGCTTCACAATGCACAGTTGGATCTATTGCGACACGCAATATAGTTTAACTCCCATCTGGATTGATAATCTCATGGCCACGATAGGGCTAAGGGACACGATTCAGGTGACAGGTCAGAGTGTATGTTGGAGTTTATAGATTTGTATAGAGTTAATGACTGGGTCTGTTATAGTATTAGGGCATAGTATAGGTTAGGTCAGTAGCTAGGGACTGTGTTGGGTTCAAAAGATATGGTTATGAGCTAAGGGTTTTGTTTGGGCGAAGGCTTAATGGAGGTTAGGGGTTGGGCCTGTGTTGGGGTTAGA